GGGGGGGGGGGAGGGGAAGGGAGGGGAGGGGGGGGGGCGACTGAAACAATCAGCTTTTGGGTCATTTTTCAATCCCGGTGGACCTTGGTGACATTTTTGTCGACGGGAAATGGTCCTCGTCGTCCGGATTGGGGATTGAAGGATCTCTCCCACGCGGATCATGCCATGACTTCCTGCATGTGACCTTTCTACCAAAAAAAAAAAGGAAAAAAAAAAACAACTGTCCGACTGCGGAGACAGTATTGGGGAAGTGGAAAGGGCCAAGGCTTCGTCTAGAGTCTGTCCTAAGTGACGTCATGTCGTGGGAAGAGGAACTGTGATTATGGTGTTCAAGGCGGCGGAACTCCCATTCCCAAGGTTAGTGAGGAGGGCGGGGTGGAAGTGTGCCGGCTTTAGTACTATTCATTTTTCTCATTCCATGCTCCCTTTGCTCCTTTAACGTACCGTGCTTGCCTTCGTTCGCGGTCTCCGCCTCGCTGTCGCCTGGCCTTGCCTTCTCTCGCAGTCGGGTCCGGGGAGCTCGGTCCGTCGGTTCGGGTTTCTCGGGGTTGCGTGATGGGTGTGAGGGGTGCACGTGTGAGGGGTTGCGATGTGGAACGGAGGTTTTGTGGGCGATGTTTTTATTACAGTCATTTGTTCTGCATTCCGCAGTCTTTCGAAGCCTTTCGTATTGGAAAGTGGTTTCCCCCGATTTAGCATTCCCTTTGCTTTGGAACCGGTTTGCTGCCAACCTGCAATAGTACTAACTTTTATTTTATTTGATAAAATTATGAATATCTGTTATTAATTGTTGTCGATATTAATTACATTATTATGAAAGTCTGCAATATACTGCTATTCTCAGGTGACCGTTTCGCCTCATTTCCTACGGACTATGAAAATTGAGTGTAGCTTCTCGTGCGCGAGCGGGGCAACGGGAATCCTATCACTTGTGAAGAAATGCACGAGGTTTGACCTGGATCCAAGAAAAATCTCATTGATAGTAACATTACCTTGGGTTCCCAGATTCAGCACGATCGTATTAAAGAAAAGAAGTGAAGGTTGAGTTCTTGGGGATTCTTTTAGCTGCTATCGGACTTCAAGGTAAGGGGACTCAAAGTAAGTCAGCAAACAATAGGGACAACATGAGCCAAATTTTGTTGCTATCTACCCCCCTCTTCCTCAGACTGTCCGACACAGGTTGAGCAATTCGGATACGCATGACTCTCTTGCTTAGATTTCCCCTTCCCCCCCCTCCGCTTCCCCTCTTCCCCATAGTTGCACCGCTATCTCTCTGGCATGGCGAAGAGCTTATTTACGAGTTCAAATAAGGTTCAGGAAGGCTGCTCCTCCGTGACACTTGTGTTCCGTTGCTACCGCTGAAATTGTGCTCTGGAGTCTCGAGACAATTTTTTAAGACTGGCGAGGGGGAAAGAGCTTCCAGGACTGAAGGAAGATTTAGATGCAGATTCAGGATTGATTTAGTCGGTGAACGTCTTCCGAGAGTCATGTTTTGCGCAGTTATGATCGCAATATTTTGATTTAGGTTTTTTGAAATATCCCGTTTCTCGGAAAATTCCCACGAAAATTTTAAAGAGAAGAATGCCTTCAAATGATGACGCCAAGAATTCTTGGCTTTCTCGTTTAACATTTGTAGTTGTTAATAGGTGGATTGAGATCTTATAGGCGAGTAACGCAAGCCGCGAATTTGTTCGTATGGAATGGCCCTCGGAATGATTAATTTTTGCATTAAAGCAGTGCCATTTTGCGTTCGTTGTTGGCATATGCAATTCTTGAAAGAGCGTTGTTCGGAAAGTTATTTTTCGCAGGTTCCGCCAAGTTGAATGACGTCAGCCAAGCAAGGCTAATTCTATCCATCAACCGCGTATTTTAGCACTTGCATGGGAAGAATGGCTTCGAAGTTACGGTTGTCTGTCGAAGAGCGCAGCGAAGTGGCTTGGCGATTACTCGACCGACGTCGCTCAACTTGGCGGAAAAAAACTTTCCCAAGCACCCTAGATATGCTCCACGTGCGCAAAATGATACTGTTTTAACGCAAAAAGTGTCATTTCGTGGGGCATCTTGCATGTGAGCTGAGGTCGTGTAGATCGGATCCATGAGCAAGTCAAATGAGTCGTTCGTCAACTATTAAGGTCTGGAGACCACGTCGAATATCTCATGTTCGCTCATAGGAAAGATGTCCGCTGATGCCTGGCACGGTCAGTCGGCATGGAGGGGGATGCTTCTCGCCGATGGAATCCTTTGTGGATAAAGATCCTAGACGTGTTGAGATTAATGTCATGATGCAGGGTCTTGAAGATCTTGAAGGTAAATTTTGGATCAGTTCAACGGAGGACGAGTTGGCGAGTAGTCTTTTGCAGGAATCGAAGAGGGACAGTTTTAAACCGATTTCTTCCCCCACTTGCAGTAACTTTCACGCCTGAACATGTCTTTCATGATTTGAAAATAGTAGCAATCCCAAGATTTTACGATAGAGACCCAAATAATAGCAGAGTGGCTCTAGCTATCACCATTCGCTGTCTGTAAATTCCATTCTGATGTGGTCAGGAGCGTAGAATTGCGCTATGCAGTATATGTGTCCTTCAAAACTCACAAGGTGCACTCATAGCAGTCTTATCGCCTGCTCATAGCAAATGCGCTCATGTGAGCAAATCTGAACGCCTTAAGGCTGGGAAAGAAGGGAAGAGGAAGTAGATGGGGAACGATAAAAGTAGTATTGAAAGATGAAATCTACAATGTGATGTTGAAGATAAGAAAAAGGAGAAAATTGTGAAGTGAGGATCAGGAAAATAAATGCAGGGAATAATAGGAGTAGGAAGGATGGGGGAGAAAGATTTCAATAATTGAAAACAAAGGATGGATTAATGAAGCCAGGGAAAGGGCATCCGAAATGGAATGTGGCTCTGTGCTCTACCGCCGATGTCGAACGTCGCCGGAGTGTTTCAGCTCGTCGGCACGCTTTTGGTAGGGTGAGGAGTGAAATGGAAGAATTAGACTGTGGAGGTTTTTTTCCGTATCCAGTCGTCTTGAACTGACGTCATCGAGGCTGTGAGCGGTGAGATATCTCATGCGAGAATTTTGGTCGCGTCATATTCGATGGGAGAAATGAATCTGAGGCATTTTGGAGCCAACCACGAGCATTTCCTTGTGAGCTCTCGTGCTTGACGGCAGTCTCCGTTCTCCAAGTGGAATTAATCATATGAACATTTTAAATACCACTCTGACAGGAAGGGGAGCCAATGATATTCAAGGGAAAGATCAGAGAAAGGGACACATTTCGGGGGATGCGGAACGGAGCGATAAATGCCCGAGTGAGCTTTCGTCACGCTCATATGAAGCTTCATGGAATCTTCAAGAGAATAATTTTCTTGAGTAGCTCTTTTTTTCCGAAGGGAATGCCATTCCGTAACTTTCATATTCTCGTGAAAGGTATATTTTTTCTTTAATCCCTCGTCTGAAAGATGATCTTTCCTTTTGCCGCAGGATTCTGTTGAGTGATTGAAGGCCGGGAAAGTGAGAAACAAAAATGCCCCGTTGGCTGGGCGTTGCTACTCTCGTTCTGGTCGCATTCCTGATGATCCCGGACGGCATCGCGAGAATCCAGATGGAGATCGTTCCCAGCGAATGGAATCCCGCGACGATGTGCGGTCGGTTCAACTGCTATCGGCTGAACGGGGGGCAGGCGACGGAGTGCTGCGAGAGGTACGCGGAATGCTGCGACGAGGCTTTCGGGAGTCCGCCCCGATACACTGGAAGGCGTTCTCGGTTTACCTGGTATCGACCTCTCCCCGAATGGAGGCCGTGATCGACTTCACCGCATCTCTCTCTGTACTCTCAGATGCCAGTCCTTTCCAGTATCATTCCCACTATATCAAGTCATTGTATACAAAGATTAAAGGAATATTCATCTAAATGTGCAAATTATTTATGCTCTCCCGCAAGTTTTTTGCACCTCGTAACTAGAGAGAGAAGTTTCGAGGAATTCTGATTTATTCCCTTCAGGATGTCAGGCCACGCTTCTGAACCATTTCAGTCCCACTCCAGCTGCTCCCAGGCGTGACTCATCCGATTCCCGAACGCGAGGGAATTCCGACGGCAAAATAGCCCATTGCTTGTTCATGAAACTTTCAATCACCAGGAACAATTAAATCGCACCTGAGAACTTGTGTAACTTATTGATTTAGGAGAGGGTCCAACGGGTGAACGTGGTACGAGGATGTTATATCGTTCCACCACACCTTGCACATTCTAGGCTTTGGGCAATTGGGAGGGGGCGGGGGTTCACTTTTTCTGTCATCATATTCTTCCCTCAATTAACTCATAACCTTGACATGGAAGAGGAACAACACGATGTCTTAGCTCCTAGGAGCTTTAGATATGAGATATTTCGATGTTTAGATATTAGATCTAGGAGTACAACTCATGGCTGAAGGTCAGATAAAGTACTAGTTTTCAAATTTCAGATTCCTCACTAGTCTAGGCACAAGATTTCTTCAGACACCGTAAAGTGCCATTGTTTTGGGGGAGCCATGCTGACCTAAGCTGATGCACTCATGAAGGTGAGGCAAAGCAAATAGAATCTAGTCATCCATCACTTGGTGTTCAAAAGTAAGCTGAGAATTGAACTTTTTGAATATTATTGGTATGCAAATGAATGGAAGTGCAGCAGGGGGGAGGGGCAGAGTAAGAGAATGATGAGTATGATCAGTGAAGAGCCACACTCTTAATGCAGCTTAGGATCTGGATTCACCACCATAATCTGACTATAATCTGGGGAGAACTGAAGTACTGATCCAGAATGAACATTGAAAGATCGCACAACCAAGCTCACAGCTTGACTTGTGTGGGACATGATAATTTTCAAGAAGTGTCCTAATGCACCGAGTGGATTTCTTGTGTCTGTTTTGAGCATCTACACAGTGTTAACAAAAAAAACTGCACCAAATCAACTTAATTTTTTAAATGCTGCATGTAAATGAGGAAAGAAGGCCTGTGCCAAATTTAAAGAAAATTGACAAATTTTATCACATTCTATGCCATTTCAAACTTGATAGGTAAAAAAGTGTGCCAATTCATTTTTTTCTATAGGAATGATAGTAAATTTCATCTGATTGACCCAATATTTCACAAACTGCATGTGGATAGATGAAAGGAGGCTTTTGTAAATTTTGAACAAGATTGACTGAATGTATCACGTTATACACAGTTTGAAACTTGAAGGCTAAGAAAATGCACTGGATATGCCCAATGGTGTGTTTGACTCAGCCAGTGAAGTTAACCTCCTTTGCCGTTCTGGATGGCACGCAGACACTCACTTGCTGCACAGCTGTGACAAATGCATCAGTGGGCATATCCAGGCATGTTTGAGTTTTAAACATGAGATCATGAGATACATTCAGTCAATCTTGTTCAAAATTTGCATCAGCCTTCTTTCTTCTATCCACATACAGTTCGTGAAATATTGGGCTGATCTGATGAAATTTACAATCATTCCTATAAAAAAAGAATTGGTGCACTTTTTTACATATCAAGTTTGAAATGGCATAGAACATGATACAATGGGTCAATCTTCTTAAAATTTGGCACAGGCCTTCTTTCCTCTATCTAAATGCAGTACTTAAAAAATTAAGTTGATCTGATAAAATTTACTGTCATTAATAGCAAAAATGATTTGGCACAGTTTTTTTTTGTTGAAACACTGTGTAGTATGTTCCGATTGCCCAGTTAAGCTGAGGGACAACATTTGATTCATTTGAAAGAAGGCTTCATTCCAGGGCAATTAAAAAAAAATACCAATCACAGATGTAAGGTTGTAAATGCAACAAAGAATTTAAATTTGATTCTATCACGTGACTGTGCAGTCATGCAGGGAGGGAGATGATTAGGTTAAATATCTCCAATGAGGGTATCCATAAGCTGTTGCACTTGGGAAGGCTGCTCAACACCTTTGGTTCTTTTTGGCGGTGAATGACTTGGTTCTTCATCATCAGAATCATCATAATTAATATGACTTCTTGGATGAGGCATATTTTTCACTGGTTTCCTCAGTGAGTTTTCACTGTCTGATTCCACATCAGTATCCTCATCGAAAAGAGAGTTGTCACAATTTTGAAATTTTGTACTTGTGCTAGGTCCTGGTTGAGGAGATGGAATCCTCTGCTCTCCACTATCTTGTCCTCTTCCTTCACCCTCTTCATCTGGGAGTAAATAAAAAAAAAGACACGATCACAGATGAACATTTTTATGGTGTTCATTCAGACCTTTAAGATTTTAAATGAGGAAAGTTTTATAATCCTGATGCAATGAGTTGTGCCAATTACAGGATTTAGTATACACTCTCTTCTAGCCACAATGAACTCTTTTTTGAGTATCTTGCTCACTTTGCAAGAAAATAACTCTTTTTATAACAATCATAGACTATAAAACCATTTGTTAAGGATTAAAAGATTCAGCATACAGCTGGATAATGATAATAATTTATCTTAACCCTGTAATTACCGCTCTGATTCAATGCACCCTGTATAAAAATGTAGCCATCTGTGCAGGTTGCATTGTAAACTTGTCCAATACTCTGCATATTTTCATGAAAACATGTAATAGTAATTAGGCAAAGTATTTTGAAGAGATGAAACATAGTTAATCATACGACCATCTGAATATTGGCAGTTACAGGGTTATCAAGTAATGAACAGGTGAACAAGAGCTATAATCCTCAGAAACATGGTCATTTAAAAAGAAATTTCATCCAATTGATCTGAAATCACTGATATAAGACTAAAAAACAGCTAAGCAACAGTTCTAGCAAAAAGCCACTGGAACTGTTGCTTGGTACCCATCACTAAGAGTTAGCAACATTCTGCCACAAACCTACTATATTATTTCAATACCTGATATACTGGTATATGACAGTAACTCTTTCCTGATGTTTGATACAGCAAGCTAAAAATTTTACAGGGACACAAATAGTTTTCATAAGGTATAGTACTGTAGAGGCTACAAATTTGAAAAGTTTGCCTGCAGAAGATTTGGTCTAAGTGAGCATTTCATCACACAATTTTTGTACACACCAACTAATGTACCTTGGTTGATTTGTGCTGGTGGATAACTTGCAGTTAACAATGACTTAACTGCTTAATCAACAGCCATGCCCACAAGTCTATTCCAAGAGAGAAGGAGATGCATCACATTCTGCTACATCTTCATTATTAGCCATATAATCAGAAAACAAAGGCCAATGGCCATTTTCAACAGTTATAGCTACCTTTTTAGTGCATATTTCTTGGCAGAGAGCTTAGCTGGAAGCTATAAATATTCAAATACAAGAGCAGACTAGTCAAATGCTAACCACAGCATTTTGACAATGTGACAATGTGTGCAACTATCGAATTAATGTACAGGTACTTGTTTGGAGGCCAAGGAGGCACCTTGGATCTTATCACTCCAGGAAAATTGCCTAGCACCAGCAATAAATCAATCAATTGACCTGCTTGTTTCCCATTATCTGGAATTGTGGTCATATCACATTTCAAACATGAAGTCAGCCAAGTTTGTTAGATGACTGCCTAAGTGACCTCTGACAATATTTTCAGAACACTCGCACCTTTTCAACAAATGCAATGATAAAAATCTGCATGGTCCTTATGAGCAATTGCAAGAAAAAATTAGCCACATGAAGGATTCAATCCATAAAGCAGGTAGGAGAATAGAGGGAAGAGAATTTCATTTACCATTCATATCCCTACTTAGGCATTTGATGACCTCCTTCTTGGAATTCAAGATAGATAAGCAACGGTCAAGAAGGTCCTTGCGTAATGTATCCAATTGTCTCTCATATTTGTTTAGTACTTCTGTTGTCTTCTCATGTTCTGAAAAAAGGAAATTGATAAAAATGTAATTCAATGATTTGAAAATAAAAATAAAAACATGAATAAGCTGACCATCAGAAAGATGTTTATGCTGCATTTCATGATTGTGCACTTCCTGTCTCAAGCTTTCATCTTGTGTGGCACATGTATTCAGCATTGTCTCAAGAACCTCTCTCACAGGTACCTGTGAAACAAATTTGACAGCTTTCTTCATGTTTTAAATTTAAATTCAAGCCCTTTGTAATACCACTCTGATAAAAATGACTGAGTTTACAGGCTGGATGGGATAGTCCCGTCCTATCACATATTTTTGACGAAATCAAATTTCGCAGTAAATTTATTGATTGTACAAATGTCATAAGTTACCTGCCTTGTCCCCAGTACACTAGGCAGGTAGTTGGGAGTTAAAAGTTTACCTTCAGTTGCCCTACAGCCATGGGGGAGCCCACATAGAAAAAGTTTTTGGATCACCTCTCGCAAAGAAAATTTATCGCTCAGAGACTTTTGGAGGGGTACACTGGTTACCAGATTACCAAACAATTTAAGATCCCCAAAAGCACTGTGCTTGATGTAAAGAAGATGCTGGAGAGGACTGGGACTGTGGAGAGAACCCTGCCCAACAGGAAGAGGACCAAGAGGACGCCCCAGAACATCGCCTCTGTCGCCAACATCATTGCCGCCCAGCCCCGGCAGTCGATTCGAGCTCTTGCTAAAAAGTTTGGCATGAGACACAGCACCATGGGATTGTTGGTGTGCAAGGATCTGGGTATGAGGAGCCTGGCTGTGGTCTCCAAAAACCATATCAACCCGGGCCAGATGACGACAAGAAAGAAGAGGTGCGACACCCTGTTGGAGTGGATGGACCAGCCGGGAAACAAGAACCGGGTCAGCGTCTTCAGCGATGAGAAACTTTTCCTCGTCGACCCTGTCCCCAACAGGAGGAACCTCAGGATCATTGTGAACGAGAAGTGGGAAGACATCCCAAGTGACATCAAGCACTCCCCCACAACAAAGCACTGTGCCAAGGTCATGGTCCTGGGCGTCATTGCCTCGGATGGGAAGAAGATGCCGCCGATCTTCATCAACGCCAACGAGAAGATCAACACGGAGGTTTACATCAACTTGCTCACAACAAGCAAGAAGGACAAGGATGGGGAGCCCCTGGGTGTGATCCAGGACTCCTGATCAGCTGCACTATTCAAGAGTGAACACATCTCATTTGGATTTTGGCCCTGATCCCAATACATGTAGCAGTTATCATCAACAGAGGCATATACTTGACTCTCAGAGCCTGATAACTCTATGTGACAGGTCATAATGGTACAAATTTCAAGCTTTGAGAAACTGGACTTTTTGGAATATTCCTGCAGTGAAGCAAATCACCTAAGCAACAAAAAAAATTGCAGCAGCAAACATTCAAAATGGGCCAGTATAAAGTAAGTTAGGCCTAGGCCTACATTATCATTGCCTGCAGAGAAAACAAAAACACTCATACAAGGTTCAAGCTTAGACCTATGAGCAGACCTAACAACGGTTGGCTCCAATGGTTTTATTTAAAAAACTAATTTTTTTGCTGCTAAAACCTGCTTCTCGAAAACCCTGAAATTTTTATTTTTTATTTTTCCCGGCCGGCCAGCAAAAACTTTCGGCAAGGGCCTGGGCCTTGCCAAAATAAGCCCAACAAGACGATCTATGAATGAACAGCAGGACTAGGCGAGCTTCTATTGAGCATGACAGCCTATCCCCGTAGTAAAACCGAAACACTTTGCAGATAGGCTACCCGGGCAGCACTTCAAATGAACCGGAACAGGACGGATGAGTGGATTTGGGCATCTTCGATTTCATCGGAAGTGGTGGCAGACTAGTCTATCATGCACACTTCACACTCACACCTTTTACGAAAAAATTTTCACCCATCTTGAATATGCTAACCTCCGAGAAATTCACGTTTTAGGGTAAAAAAAAATTGTCTTGTGGGCAAAAGTTCCAGTCACATCGTTTTCCCGCTTTCGAATATAATTTAATACATACACTGTTTCTGGATTGAATTCGCATGCCACCTGCCGGGGGAGAACGAAGGAGACAATTCAGATTGTTGGTGCCATCTAGATGAAATAATTGCCGCCATTTTTGTAAAATTAGGCTTGATAGTTTTTTGTATAGGTCTGTCCAGTTGCCAATACAAATTCTCCTGACCACCGATACCGAAATGGACAGAACTTCACATATGGGGGCCATGCATTATGAAGGGGATGTTCCAGATTTGAATTATATGATCGTGTATGAAAGGGAGAGAGGGGCCGTGGAAATATGTATTAAATACTAGACTGTACATATCTTAATATTAGGAAATACTGTGCCCTGGAATTCATTCGATTTTGTAAACAGGACATCCATGTTTGCAAACCCATTCCATAAATGCTTATTCTCTTGAGCATTACTGTCTGCCTGCAGCGGTTTTGTTAAATCCTAGGAGGCATTGAAACGGTTACAAAACAATCTGTTATCAAATGCGCAGTTTATTAATGAGTCTCCCATGACAAAACGTTCGAGGCCTGCAATCAACCCAGCAAACAATTTGATTCAACGTTGAATCAACATCGAATGAAATTCGGAACGTTGATACAACGTCGGTACAACGTAGCCTCGTTTGTTGGGAAGTACGTGACGTAATGATGCAAGATACGAAATTCCAGCAAGATCCGACATTTTCCAGCATGCTCTCCAACTAGCATTTCCTGTTGGATCCCGTTGGAATTTTCCTTCTGGTTAGACAGAATATTCCCGCTAGAAATTTAAAGCTGGCAAAGTCCAGCTGGATTTAGTTCAGTTTCCAGACTGTCTTTTTCCCGCTGGAGAAATCCCGAACAGTCCACCAACGTCCAGCAGGAATTTTTTCCCCCCGAAGTCAGAATTTTTCTGGAGTCTGCAATCTTATCAGCAATTCGTGTACCGAGTTCCAGCCTCGCGTCATTTCTGGAACATGGTTTGAATTAGCGTCAGTCACGCAGTGACTCACGATCATTACGAGCATGACTCCGATTTACGCGTGTGATATTTATGAAGTTATTGATTTCGAATGGTTAGGACGATGCGGAGAGAGTTAAATGCAAGTGCCTAGTGGCCTGTGGAGTAGCAGTCCGTGGCTGAGCATGCTAGAAACGGTGTTCTTTACCGTTCCAGGTCGTTAATAGTCCTTTATTTTAATTAAGTCGAGCCATCGTTCATCGTCGATGTATTGGGAAGGCGTTCCCTGTCCGTTTGCGATTTGAGGAATGCGGCAAGAATTTGGCAGCCCAAAAACCCTTCGTGGACGAGCAGGAGCCTTGCCATCGACTTCTTCATTCCGTTCGCCGATTTCGCCGGGTGGAACTCCTCCTTGGCGTCTGTGTCCTCGACGTCCGCGCCAGGATCCCGAGGTGGAAGTCGTTCGGATTGGACGGGATCATTGTTGGGAATTCCGTCGACATGATTCTCCTATAGGGAGGAAATTTTTATGACGCCTTTTTTTCTGTCTGTGGATGCTGGCAGATGGAGGGGAAGAGGGCGTGACCTCGGCCGACGTGGATGTTCAGCTTCATCTGCTGGGGTGGAAATGTCGCTGCCGTCTTCCGTCTCCGAATCGCGTGGAATCGGCAGGGAGAAGCACACATGGCAAAGGCCGAGCTAAACGACATTTCCAACCTTTCTCTACTGGAGGGGATTCGAATGCTTTTACTCATGCTCTACTCCTTTGCCTTAACCGATTACGTAGTGAAACCTGAGGAAGACCAATTATCATGGGTGACAAAGGACTCAGTGCTTTGATGGCGATTTGTTTTTGCATGTTCACATCTTTCTTCGCCGGATAGATGAGGGGGGGGGGGGGGGGGGAAGGTCCTCATGTGCTATAGCATCCGGCTCTGAACTGGGCATGTCCAAAAAATGCTTACAGGGTGGACGGGATAGTCCCGTCCTATCGCATATTTTTGACAAAATCAAATTTCGCGGTAAATATATTGATTGTACGAATGTCATAAGTTACCTGCCTTGTCCCCAGTACACTAGGCAGGTAGTTGGGAGTTAACAGTTTACCTTCAGTTGACCTACAGCCATGGGGGAGCCCACAAAGAAAAAGTTTTTGGATCACCTCTCGCAAAGAAAATTTATCGCTCAGAGACTTTCGGAGGGGTTACACTGGTTACCAGATTACCAAACAATTTAAGATCCCCAAAAGCACTGTGCTTGATGTAAAGAAGATGCTGGAGAGGACTGGGACTGTGGAGAGAACCCTGCCCAACAGGAAGGGGACCAAGAGGACGCCCGAGAACATCGCCTCTGTCGCCAACATCATTGCCGCCCAGCCCCGGCAGTCGATTCGAGCTCTCGCTAAAAAAAGTTTGGCACGAGACACAGCACCATGGGATTGTTGGTGCACAAGGATCTGGGTATGAGGAGCCTGGCTGTGGTCTCCAAAAACCGTATCAACCCGGGCCAGATGACGACAAGAAAGAAGAGGTGCGACACCCTGTTGGAGTGGATGGACCAGCCGGGAAACAAGAACCGGGTCCGCGTCTTCAGCGATGAGAAACTTTTCCTCGTCGACCCTGTCCCCAACAGGAGGAACCTCAGGATCATTGTGAACGAGAAGTGGGAAGACATCCCAAGTGACATCAAGTACTCCCCCACAACAAAGCACTGCGCCAAGGTCATGGTCCTGGGCGTCATCGCCTCGGATGGGAAGAAGATGCCGCCGATCTTCATCAACGCCAACGAGAAGATCAACACGGAGGTTTACATCAACTTGCTCACAACAAGCAAGAAGGACAAGGATGGGGAGCCCCTGGGTGTGATCCAGCCTCGGATGGGAAGAAGATGCCGCCGATCTTCATCATCGCCAACGAGAAGATCAACACGGAGGTTTACATCAACTTGCTCACAACAAGCAAGAAGGACAAGGATGGGGAGCCCCTGGGTGTGATCCCCTGGCTGAAGAAGACTTATCCTGCTGGTAATTTTGTGTTCCAGCAGGACGGCGCCCCCGCCCATACAGCCAAGAAGACGCTCCTCTATGACCAGGCCCTCGAGCCGGTGTCCAAGACCGGGTTCCTGAAGACCGGCGGTAGGAGCGGCCTAAACTTAGGCGACCTAAAGTCATAGACCTTAGTGTACGTCCTCTTACGGACGTGTGTGCCACAAGAATGTGGAGGCCCTCAAGGACTCCATCAGGGCTGCTTGGGCGGGGATGACGCCCGAGTACAACAAGAAGGTGTGCGACGCCTTCAGGGGCCGGGTGGACAAGGTGGCTAAAGAGGAGGATGGCTGTATTGAGTAGATGATGTTCCCCTGCATGTCCAGCAACATATACAAGCTGTAAACTGTTGAAATAAACGTTTTTTTTTACATAAAAGAAGTGTTCTCAATTATCGCATAAAATAGTACGGGACTATCCCGTCCACCCTGTAGGAGAGCCTGCTGGACAGCTTGATGCAAGGAACGCAGCACTCAAGTGTCAAAAGTCGGTGGGCAGCCGGGAATTGAACCCGGACCTCTTACTTGCCAGTCAGGTGTGCTACCATTACACCACGGAACACTGGACATTTTGGCAGACTTCTCCATGTCATCTCAAATCACTACAGTCGTTTGCGCAGCGAGCACTGTCAGGCTGCACATTTTACTGTAGGGAGGGGACATTTGTTTCACATTGCTGCCACAACGGAAAAGTGCTTCTGCTGCAGCTCACACTGTTATTCACTGGTGCTAATGTGGAGGCGAGGCTTTTTCAGAAAGTATTCGTTAGTATTTTGCTACACAACCTTAATTCCCTCTGTGCTAAAGTCGAACAAGTTCTTGGAAATGACCCGTACTGTTTCAGAACCAGTGGCACCTGAACCATGCGTAGAAGTTGTGGTGGTGGCTGTGACTGCAACGCGCGAGGCCTACAAGACTAGATCATTTTAGGACATAGGCTAGGCTATCCGCCACTCAAACCGCCAGGTCCATTAGGCTATGCCATCCGTGGCCATGGGCTAGACCATCCACCGCTCAAAGCGCCAGGTCCATGAGGCTATGTCAATCTGGGCCATAGGCTTCCTACTTACCTTTGTCAAGCAAAGGGTACTACTAACTGAATGCGTGTCACGTTATCACTGATCGATTACATGTTCTCCATTTGGATACATTTTGTTGATGTATTTTTTGTTTGTTTTTTTTTCCGTTAGGTCAGGCGTGGCGGTAAGTGCCATCGCTTCCTCGCAATAGTACCCTGTTTGTGTTTCATGTCATGGCCGATTTATTTGAGTTCTCATGATTGATGAAGTCAAAATAATAGACTTAAAAAGTCTTTGCTACATATATCGCGTAAACGAGATGCGCTCCCATCAAAATGTTGGCGATTTTTGCGAGGTGAGATTGAACGCGAAGAAGAAATGTTGAAGGACGACGATGAGGCAGTTGGTGCTGGCTCGGAAACAACGTTTGCCACTGCAGTTGCGGTACGAAGTACGGTATCGGGTGCTAGCTGTAATGGCTAGAATCAGTGATAAACAGAAAGTAGATATTCGTAGGGAGGGTAGGACCGGACCTTAGACCGCTGAATAGCAAGAGCCAGCGAATGCGGAGCTCCGGAATAGGAGAGCCGTGCAGCCTGCTGAGCAACTTGATGCAAGGAATGCAGCACTCAGGTGTCGAAAGCCGGGGGCGGCCGGGAATTGAACCCGGACCTCCTGCTTGCCGCTCAGGTGTGCTACCATTACACCACGGAACCCAAGATGTTATGCCTCTCCATGTCATCTCAATCACTATAGTCGTTTGCCGCAGCGAGCACTGTCAGGCTGTACATTTTCATGTAGGGAGAGGGCATTTGTTTCACATTGCTGGCACAACGGAAAAGTGCTTCTGCTGCAACTCACACTTAACGCTCACACTGTTATTCACTGGTGCTAATGTGGCGGCGAGGCATTTTCAGGATTTAGTCTTTGGCATTGTGCCGCAGCCACTGACTACCCTCTGTGCAGTCGAACAAGTTCTTTGAAATGGTCCGTACTGTTTCAGAATCATTTGAGTCTGTACCGTAAGCCCATGAGCTGACGGGTGATGGAAAACTATTGAATGTGCTAGGAGTACGAAATCAACATAGTCTTCTTGAGTCTCATGAAAACGTGCTAAACCGAGGCGTTCACATTGGCGATTGTGGCAATGAGCTCGAATATCATTATGATGTTGTTTAGGAACAAAATTTGTGTACCGTAAGCCATATGTGTATAAATTAATAAAGCGGTTCCGTTCCGAATGGGTAATTCTATGAACAGAGGACTGTCAAGAAGACGTTATGTTCACAATAGACGAATCAAATTTCCATCTAAAAATTAGTCGGCCATCGTAGCGGCCTGCGGCCGCTAGTATGAAGTAATTCAGCGCGTTTTGAGTGAAAGCTGTTAACCTTGGCATGCATCACTGTCATAGGAAGGTTCACCATTAAGATATGTCATTAAGGAGGGATGGACAGGGGTGAGAAAGGGGAATTTCCCTGATGGCCGCGCAAAGGTTTTTCACAGTGTTCATTTGCCTTTGGAGCTCTATTACGTGAATAGCTTTGTTTCTATGCTTGCATGCGTGGTTGCTGTAGGATGGGGGTTGGGTCGTGGATTGGCATGGATGGGACCAGGCAGCTATGGGGGGGCCTTATCGGAAAAGGAGACATTGCCAGAGGTCAAAGTTACAGCGGGGGGATTATCCTGTCTGGGAATGCAGGTTTCCCCGGGGGGTTTATCCTGTCTAGGAATGCAGGTTTCCCCGGGGGGTTTATCCTGTCTAGGAATACAGGTTTCCCCATCAGGCGGCTGCGACAATCCTTTGAGGATGTCCGCGTATGTTTTCCTAACTTCTGTCTAGGAATTGGGCTGCTAGGGCAAGTCGGACTTTCTCCTTGGAAAAGTGTAGGAGTCAGAACGATTGATTATTCTTCAAAAAGAACACTGAGGAGGAATGGTTCTTGCATTGCACTCGTATAGGGTGTGGTCTCCGAGCAATAGGCGCAATGTGGCCATATTTCCCGCACTTGAAGATTGCACTTGCAGAATTGCACTGTATGATTTTCGGCCTTTGTTCGAATCGATTGACACTAAAAAAAAAATTATGGTTCAGATGCTTAGATGCTTGTACGCTTTCAGAGCGGTTTCTGGTAATCGAGAAACAGTTTGCTATGGTTTTAAGCTCACTTCAAAAACTATTCGACATAATGACGCCTAATAACTTGGTAGTGCTTGAAACATTAAAGATGGTGCTCGGCACGACTGTTTTGCGATCCCTTGAACCAATTTTTTCACGATCTTAGCTTAACAGCTATTCGTGGGAGAGATCATATGAATATCTTAGATCGTAGCATTGATTTTCTGCCGTGTCAAAGCCCTCAGATCATAAAAACTCCAGGGGCCCGTTCCTCGCCTGTGCTAAACTTAAATCTAAATCTAAATCTAAATCTTAGGCTAAATCTTAGTCTAAAGGGTCAGGGCGAAGTATAAACTTTTTGCTTTTAGACCGCTTTTAGACTGATTTTAGATTTAGATTTAGATTTAAGTTTAGCATAGGCGAGGAACGGGCCCCAGGAATTAACCAATTTCAGCTCATATAGGCTTGGTACTGCGTAAATGGTTCTACTCCGAACCCTCAGTTTTACAGAGTAGAGCCGTTTCCCACTAAATTGTGTAATAGTTACTGGTTGGAGTGATCGTGCGAATGTCCTATGGAGTGGCGTTCATGTTTTGCCCTGTCAACGCCCTCAGATCGTTGCAGCACCAGGATTCAATTTCGTCTTATCCACGGATAAGGTTCTGAGTTTCACTCCAGAACCTTTATTCTTTATAGTGTACTGGGAAAGAGAGCCACATTTGAAACGACCTTCACGAGAAAAGTTTCTGCTGCAAGATTTTCTATAATGGTTATAACGCAGGTCGTGGACGGACATCTCCAGCTCTTCTAATTCGGCTGCTTCCTTTGGTTATGTCGCCATGTTCGGCGAGGACTAGAACGAAGTCTATCAGAGCTCGACACCTTTAACGACTATCTTACTCGAGGCTGATTTGTCTTTAGGCGCTATAGCTTTTCCCAGCTTGGCAGGCCATAGGCGAGCCAACTCGGCTGCTGTCTTTTTTGAGTCAAGTTCGAGGACGAACCCTTTGCTGGTCTTCCTGACGTCAAAAATTATACCACTGAATTTCGCGTTCACGGCTCTCATAAAGGAGAGCTTGTTTGCTAGCTCTGGGAGAACTTTTTCCAAGAACATTGGGTAGTTAAACTTGGCAAGACTGGAGGGATTTGCAACTCGCGTAAAAGACAGCTTTCTTACTCACTTTATTCGAGTGTCGTCGCTGGGACCGGCCTGCGAACGACCTTGATGCGATCGTTCGCTCAGACCTGCGAACCTTCGGCATGTCGGACTAGGAGGGCTATATTACTTTCCCTTTTCACGATTTAGGGTTCTAAAAATTACTATAATATATACTTCGGGCCAAACACTTATAAATTAATTCACTATATATCCAGTATCACCAAGTATCAGGGCGCACTAGCGACATCTAACGGCGGAAGCTGTGAACGAAGGTCGGGTCAACCACCCTAGCGGGTTCGCATGCTTTTATTCCCTTACCGTGACAATAGCCTCGTTTCGACGGGTCTTTTCCTAGGAGTACACCAAGGAAGAGGAATCCATGGTATAGTCTAAACACACCCGTTTTGCCCTACCGAGGATGCATTTGATGGGGACAACCTCCAAGCGCTGTCACCAAGCCCGGGCAGTTTCCTTGGGGACACCTGGGTTTCGAGCCGGTCTAAACAGGTGAGGCCGCATTCCTTGGTGCGACATGTGGCCTGTAGTGCTTCTTTCGCCCCTCTATCTGCGGCGTGTGAAAATGACGACGCGTTGAACTGAAGAGGACGTGAAAGCATCTCTCCTGTTCAAAGATTTAAATATTAAAGTGCTTCTCGATGGAACTTTGAGAAATAGGAAGGCTTACAAACGGCTCATTGATGAGCTACGAAAAAGGGGACCGAAAAATCCACAATAAAATATTGGACGTGAAAGAAAACGTTAAAAAAAGTGAAGGATAGCAATCGCGCTACCGGTAACTCTCCAGCAGCCACTCCGTTTTTGGCTCTCCTCGACCCCTTCGAATCCACACACTCCGCGGAATCCCATTGCGCAGGAAATAACGAGCTTCCATCCATGCTGAATCCTTGGAATAAGGGCCAGTCGAAACGTCCCTTGGTGTCAAATGCCCTGAAGGATCATACCAAGGGGAGGAAGATTCCCCAGTTGGGCCAAATATACTCAGGTGAATGAGGTCATATTTGATTAATGACTCATTCCGGAGGAGACCGAATATCTTGGGGACTGGCTAGTCGAAATGAGGCTTTTTTTTATCTTCCTGTGGTGTGCCTTATACATGCGAAGATACCACTTCATAAGTCTGAGTGGAAGAAATCGAGAAACTAGTAATGTTCCCTCTCGAGTTGAGTATCAAGAAGAAAAAAAAAGAAACATGAAAATCTTTTCCCTAAATGTTCAAGAAAGAAATTAGGCATGCGCATTGAAGTGTTTTGAATGCACTAAGGAATTACGTGTAGACAAGTAGCCGCACGTCAGGTGAGGCCCAACCCCACACAATTGAAAATATCCATCAGGATAGCAAATAACTGAAATAAATTTAGAACTGGAGAGTACCGATCTGCCATTCCACTGGTCTCTGTACCAACTGGAATTATTATTCACATCAAACCTTGAAATAATAATAGCCGTCATTGGTTCGGCATACTTTATGAAAAGGCTTGTACGACTAGACCATGTTCTCGATGGTCCGCGTCGCGTAGAAATGGGAGAACAGTATGAAGTGTAGGATGCCAAATACGGCATTTCACGCGTGCGCCTAGCAACTATGTCTACATGGCCGGGAACAGCCGCTCTCCTCCACTGTCTACTATGAATCCGTCAACCGCCAGGGCTGGAGTTGAAGTGGATGCTTTCGTGGAAAAGGGCACCCTAACCCAGGCGGAAAGCTGTGTGTGCGCATTGGGTCGTGTTGTCCGGTTACTGGGGACAAACGGAATGTAAAAAAGTGACAAACCGACCGCAATATCTGGCATTTCGCATAGTATTATCACAGTAAGGGAATGAAGAGCATGAGACCACACAGTGATTAACCCCTGACCTCTATTCGCAGCCACCGCCACTAGGTGTCGCTAGTGAGTCCAGGCGCTTGGTAATGGATTAAATTATAAGCGCTTGTCCCGAGGTTAATTTACATCGAGTTATTTTTTAGAGTTATAAGCTGTGAAGAAGGAAATAACGCATACCTCCCAACCCGACACGCTGAGGATCCACCGGCTGGAGCGAACGGTCGTATCACGGCCGTTCGCAAGCCGACCCCAGCGAGGACTCCCGGAAAGAGCGAAACTGAAAGCGGATTCTTCAGCTGAGATAGGCTGGACCTGTCGTCCTCTGAGATCCGGACCCAAAAACCATAGCGTGTATATAGAGGTCTCTGGAGAGGCCTTGGGAAAGATTAGGATGATTGGTTGGGTCCCGGCGTGGAGGCCCCCAGGCATACAGCTCGGGGAAAGTTGCCTCTTTTGCCATCCATGTGTCTGCTAGGAACTCCTTAATCGTGTGACTTCAGTAAGATAGCGGCCGCGCCTCGCGTCAGAGGGGAGGCCTCTCCATTATGCCCGAAAACTGCCTCGACCTAAGCCCTGGAGAGCAAGATTAGGATTCCCCCGTGACGGCCGGGCTTGACTTCAGTCCGGGAAACCTCCGGGGGACACGAGCTAGTGATATCATCCTCCACGGGACTCAATCTGTAATCCCCTCTACCACAGTTCGCATGGAAACGGTTCATCACAGAACAGAACATCAGGACTCCATTGCGCCATCGGATCCAGCAGGTTACGGAGGATTACCATTGTCGAGGAGTAAAATAATAAAACACTAATTTTGTCCTTCAATAACTTCCCCTTGTGATCTTATTTCCACCCGAACCCCACAACGGGCTACATGAACCCGTAGCTCCGTGATATTATCATCTTCTGCCATTCCCACTGATACTGAGTGGATTCATTCTCAGTTGACGCGAAAGAATGAAGTCCGCTCTGACAGTATACTCCTGTCCAGAACCGCGTATAGGACAGAGCGGGGTGGCCTCCTCTGGCTCATAGACAATGCATAGAGATATACCAATACGAGAGTAGGGAGGCCGGCCTCATTGTATTGCGCATGAGCGGGTGCCTGCTAGCAAGAGCTAATATGTCTTTCGGCTCCTTTGCCTCAAGTAGAGAGCTTTTCAGTTATCCAAACAGTGAGCCAGACATTCTAACTGGAGGTTCTTCGACGTCTGAGAGACGCAGTTCGTAGTGAGAGACCAAATCTTTGGATGACAATGTACCATCGCACATTGCTCTCAGTAAGGGAATTCATGGCAACATTTAAAATGACTCGGCTATTTTGAAGGGGACGAAAGTAAGTTCTTTTCATTTCATACCTGTGATTGAATATATCATCAGTCCGGTAACGTCTAGGTCACACCTCATATCATACATAATATAATCATATTTGCTAATAGAGCAAGTAGTGATTTTGTTTAGAAGTTGCGAAATTTGCGAGGGGAGAAAGTCGTCAGACCATTACTTTTCTCCTTGGGCCGGATGCACCTCTTCTTTCACTCTTTCGAAACAATATAAACTGTAAACATGAAACGGTTCCTGTCTCAGCGACTGATCTAAGCACGCCTTTCGTTTCATTCTCCCATTAATAAAGCAATGAATTTAGTTTTTTCGTCTACGAACCGCCACTAGTGTGGACTCTACTTCAGGAAACGTCATACTCTCACTCTACAGAAGTTAGTAATAGATCGCTGATTAAAGTCTTTTTTAATTACATATCATAACACAAAAATTTAAAGTTCTGCAACGCATGCTCACCCGAAAAAGCTCTATCCCGCAGGCATTACCAGTCGTGGAAAACCCGATAGACATCGCCGCCGGGTGCCGGGCCTGCCTTCGAAACCCATCCTAAAACCAAGACATCTCTCGAAGGATTGTAAAGGTCCATCGTCTGCCAGCCAGTCCCGCCCTCAGGGATGAAAGTGCCTTTAGCAACGTGGTGACGTCATGTCGCAACCGCGTCTTCCGATTGGCTCGGGCGGATGCCGAAGGAGGAGCATGTACGCAGTCAGTCGTCACTCGAGGCTCCTCAGCGCTTATCTTATTCAGAGGTTATGGGCATATTGCGAAAAGACACGACTTTTTCAACACCCTGTACAAATCCACTCGGACGTGAGCACGGGAGGCCACCTCGGCATACAGGAAATCCTGGACACCTACCGGTCGAATCCGTCCGACCGCCGGTACAGCCCATCCAGACCAATGGAGTTGGTGACTTTTGGCCTCACAGGTCCTTATCCGACACCCCTGAAAGGCAATAAGTCCATTCTAGTCGTCCTGGATCACTTCACAAAGTACGTCCTGCTCTCAGCCCTGCCGGATCAAAGCGCAGGAACCGTCGAAAAAGTCACGTGTCTTCATTTAATCCTGGAAGTGTCAACCGTTTATGAATTCGCCGTTGGTTGGCTATGGAGCTGCTGGCACTTCTAAGGATAATCCCACACTAGCCGACCCGTGGAAGACTTCCACGAACTCTTCGGCAAGAAATCCCGAGTTCATTCGGCGGCCCAAAAGCTCAGTGGCCCTCTCTTCGCTATAGTCAGCAGCCCCTCTTTCCCATTCTTTACGTGTCCTCACGTACAACCCTTTGAGTCCCCTATCATCCCGCTGAAGGGAGGATGACTTCCTCGCCGGGGTGAGATCTTCGCCATAACATTTTCCGCCACTTTTACCTATTGACTACAACCCTGTCCGCTTCGTCCGTAAAACCATCTCCATCACTTTGCGTGCTAGTCGAGGAGTGAAATATACGAATATGGATACGGGATGGTAGCGACCCAACCGGCGGCATCCTTGCGATCCAAGAATAAGCCATCCTATTCCGTCCCACCCTGATGGGATCCCGCCGCTATCACCCTCTAGAGTTACTCTCCTCCGCACGGAGGAAAACGGGACTCCCAAGTATTGTGCGTGGGTTTTCCTGCATGAAAGCTCATAGCGAGGTGCGAACATCTCCTAGTTATGGGGGGGATCAAAGACCTTATATACTGGACACTGCGCGGAAGCAGGGTGGCGGTCCATGCCCTCGCCCAACCGGGCTCTTGATTGCAGTTGCGAAGGACCTCGTCTCGCAATCACAGAGAACTTGCCTAAGCGCGGGCTTCATACTGCGGTAAAGTTAACGCGCACTGACTAACTGTACCGACCGCCTTCTGGATGAAGAGGAGTTGGGAAAACAATGTTCGGAGAATTTCCCGGGCCCCCGATCCTAAGAACTTAAGTCTGTCTTAACGTTCTGCTACGTACGACGCATCCAATGGATACTCCGTTCCTTAGCCGATTTAAAAACAATTAAATGCCTGACGTAATAAAAGTACTTGACCGCTTCTCTGAATCCCAATGGCAATCTCATCTTTTGCCGAGAACATTTTGCCTTAGCTGCCAGCAACAATGTGCGCGAGTCGAAGCCAGCTGTAACCCAAATGGACCCCAAGAACATCTAATCTAATCTAACATCTAATACCTTAATTGAAAGAGACCGAAAGTCGTGGCGGCCGTCACTCCTAACGCGCGAAGACCTACAAGGCTATGCCATTCTAGGCCATAAAAATCTTGGTATACTTTTATTCTATTACACGGCCAGCGTAGCGGCCGGAGTCTGCGCTAGTACGGCTGTAAATCCAAAGCGAAGCTGCGAGATAATTATCCACAGTCCACATACAGTTTATTGTCCCTTCAAAATTGAAACATCCCATTCTAACAGGTCTGTCAATCCGAGACGCGAAAATGTTGACCTTTCCCCCGACATCAAAGGCGCCGCCACAGAGTGCCCAGTCTTCTTAGTATAAGGTCTTCGGGCAAGACTTCCTCTCCTATTCTCAAGAACGGAGAGAAAGTGCGAGCGTGAGACGGGCACCCCAATCCAAGGATGTCTCCCACGAACTGTTTCTCGGGAATTCCCGAGCTCATTCAGCAGCCCTAAAACTCAGCGGCCCTCTCAACGATATAAAGCAGCAGCATCTCGTTCTCGAGAATGATCTGTGGAAGACTTCCACGAACTTCGGTTCGGTCTAAGCCATGGGTGTCAAACTCCCGNAGTCCGGTAACGTCTAGGTCACACCTCATATCATACATAATATAATCATATTTGCTAATAGAGCAAGTAGTGATTTTGTTTAGAAGTTGCGAAATTCGCGAGGGGAGAAAGTCGTCAGACCATTACTTTTCTCCTTGGGCCGGATGCACCTCTTCTTTCACTCTTTCGAAACAATATAAACTGTAAACATGAAACGGTTCCTGTCTCAGCGACTGATCTAAGCACTCCTTTCGTTTCATTCTCCCATTAATAAAGCAATGAATTTAGTTTTTTCGTCTACGAACCGCCACTAGTGTGGACTCTACTTCAGGAAACATCATACTCTCACTCTACAGAAGTTAGTAATAGATCGCTGATTAAAGTCTTTTTTAATTACATATCATAACACAAAAATTTAAAGTTCTGCAACGCATGCTCACCCGAAAAAGCTCTATCCCGCAGGCATTACCAGTCGTGGAAAACCCGATAGACATCGCCGCCGGGTGCCGGGCCTGCCTTCGAAACCCACCCTAAAACCAAGACATCTCTCGAAGGATTGTAAAGGTCCATCATCTGCCAGTCAGTTCCGCCCTCAGGGATGAAAGTGCCTTTGGTAACGTGACGTCATGTCGCAACCGCGTCTTCCGATTGGCTAGGGCGGATGCCGAAGGAGGAGCATGTACGCAGTCAGTCGTCACTCGAGGCTCCTCAGCACTTACCTTATTCAGAGGTCATGGGCATATTGCGAAAAGACACGACTTTTTCAACACCCTATACAAATCCACTCGGACGTGAGCACGGGAGGCCACCTCGGCATACAGGAAATCCTGGACACCTACCGGTCGAATCCGTCCGACCGCCGGTACAGCCCATCCTGACATCCAGACCAATGGAGTTGGTGACTTTTGACCTCACAGGTCCTTATCCGACACCCCTGAAAGGCAATAAGTCCATTCTAGTCGTCCTGCTCTCAGCCCTGCCGGACCAAAGCGCAGGAACCGTCGAAAAAGTCACGTGTCTTCATTTAATCCTGGAAGTGTCAACCGTTCATGAATTCGCCGTTGGTTGGCTATGGAGCTGCTGGCACTTCTAAGAATAATCCCACACTAGCCGACCCGTGGAAGACTTCCACGAACTCTTCGGCAAGAAATCCCGAGTTCATTCGGCGGCCCAAAAGCTCAGTGGCCCTCTCTTCGCTATAGTCAGCAGCCCCTCTTCCCCATTCTTTACGTGTCTTCACGTACAACCCTTTGAGTCCCCTTTCATCCCGCTGAAGGGAGGATGACTTCCTCGCCCTAACATTTTTCGCCACTTTTACCTATTGACTACAACCCTGTCCGCTTCGTCCGTAAAACCATCTCCATCACTTTGCGTG